GGTGCTCTCGTCGGAGTCGGACTCCGATGGCGAAGACAGAGCAACCGCGGGGGACCTCAACGGCGGGCAGTGCAGCGAGGGCACTGCACTGCCTAGTGCTGGCAACTCTAGGGGAGGGGATTCCCCTCCCAGAGATCATTCCGCCGGCCCGCAGAAGCGAAGGGCCGATGAGGCCATAGGGCTAATGGAGAGGAGCTCGGAAAAGATGCTGGTTAGCATTGACCGGGTGCTTCTCTCCATAGAAGAGATCCGGCAGAGGGCCACCGGCCTTAAAGGCGAACTCAGTAGTAAACTGAAGTTCGGGGTGTATGTCCTTAGAGAGGCCGTTCGGACTTTGACCGGGCGGGCCTCGGAGAGGGGGGGGAGCCAGGGTTCTGGAGAGAACGGGTCCAAGTGCTGGAGAGGGACAAGAAATCCGTCAGGGCGGAGAACGGACGCCTCCAGCGCAGAATCCGCAAGATTCAGATGGAGTTGGCCAACTTGCGGGCCGGCGAAAGGCCTGTCTCGCCGGTGGTGGAAGGATTTTCCCCTAGCCCTGGGCCGGCAGGGGAAATCACCATGGAAATGACTGAGGGCGGGGCTTGGTCCCCCTGTCAGGCGACCCACATATCGCGGCGAGCCTGGCGGGAATAGCCGAGACCCTCAAAGGGTTCGGCGAACGCCTCAAGGGGCTGGAGAACAGGGCAGCGATGCCCCCTCCTCCTCCAGCAGCCCTTACCTTCTCTCGCTCTCGAGAACCCCCCGCTAAGGGGGCAATCCAGGGCAAGGGGAGGAAAAAGGGGGGAGCTACCGGAGTTGCGGTGCCTCGGGGAATGTTCCCCCGTCTTCGTCGGAGATTCCCGCTGGCTCTGCCGCCCCCCCTCCTCCTGAGGCGAGTGCAGTGGCTCCGGGGACAGTGGAACCCACGTTGTAGTCCGGCACAAAAGAAGAGCTGGTAAGGCCTGTGGAGGGCCTAGTCCCCCCTCTGCCGCGCCCCCTGCTCGGCCGACCCACATCAGGGCAGCCCCTAAGAGAGCGGCGCCTAGGGAGAAGGCGGCGGTGGCAAAAAAGGGCCGTAAACGCTTCCCAAGAAAGGCGGCGGTGCTGCTTACCGGCCGGGGCAATCTGGCCGGAGCAATGGCCTTAGCGAGGCAGAAGGTTCGGCTTGATGAGCTCGGGAAATTCGCCGATATGAAGGCGCGGAGGGCTTTCAACGGGGGTCTCCTCTTGGAGATCCCCGGAGGGCAAAACGCGGAGGTCGAGGCGAGTCGCCTGGCCTCCGCGATGAGTATTACCCTGGATGGGTTCGAGGGAGTGGCAGTAACATGCCCCTCGAAGAAGCTCGACCTCCGCCTTACGGGGGTCGAGGAGTCGGTCTTCGGGGAGGAGATTCGCCAGACTATTGCCAATATTGGTGGATGCTTTGAGCCGGAGATCCGATTAGGCCCGTTGCGCCCGGCTGTCCGTTGTATACGGACAGTCTGGGCCCAATGCCCGGCGCGCGCAGCAATAAAGGTGGCGGAAGCTGAAGCCATCACGGTGGGATGGACCTCCGTACGGGTGGACCTGTTAAAAAACAGCCATCCGATGCTTCCGTTGCCTGGCACGGGGCCACACGCAGCAGAGGTGTTCGTCCGAGGTGGACAGGGCCCTCTACTGCTATAATTGCGGCGAGGAGGGGCACAAAAGGGGGGGGGCGTGCAAGCGCCCTGCCCGGTGCCCTATTTGCGTGGTGGCGGGGAGGAAGGCAGACCACAGGGCGGGGTCAAAGACTTGCCCTCTGGTCCCCCCTGCGCTTCCGGGCTCCCCCACCAAGAGGTCAGCTCCTCCCCCAAGGGGCGGTGAGGTCACCACGCGTGATTTAAGCGTGGTCCTCACTGATATCGAGGGAGTGCAGCCTGCGCGGGTGGAGTCTCCCGAGCCGGGCCCGAGTAGAGCCAGCTCGCGGGAGACCACCAGGGTCACGAGGGCGCAGACCACGAGAACCCTCGCCGAAAAGCGCCCTAGGGGTAGTTGGGGGGAGAAAGTCAGCCCTCCCTTCCAGCTCCAGAAGGTGCGGGCCCTCTTCACGCCTCGACTACCCCCGGGTAAACCGGGCCTGAGGTGTAGGAAAGGAGAGGAAGGGTCCCCCACGGGCGGGGCAGTATCCGACCATTCCCCTCGCATTGAGGGGGATACTGGTCGCTGTCCACCCATTGGCGGAACCGCCGGGCATTAGCCCGAAGGGTTTTTACGCGGAGGGTGGGGAGTGGGGGGGGACGTGGGACTTCCCCTCACACATTTTTGATTGCGCCAAAGTTCCGGCAGTTGGGGGGGTGGCCGGATGTAATGCAGTTCCCGGCCATCCCCCACTAACGGCGGCTGATGGCAGCATAACGGGGGTAGAGTTTAGTGGGTAGGCGCCTGGGGGTTTTTTCGGACTTGTATCCCGAATCCCAGGCAAATCCCATACTACCCTCTGGCAGCGGGTCTTTTATAAACCCACATTGCACGCCAGAGGGTGTCTTTGGAAGATTCTCCACCCCCGGCTATTGCCCCCCCCGCACAAAACAAAAAAAGATAAGAAATTAAATTAAAACATATATAAACATATATCATCATGGATATGTTATATTTAAAGTAAATGCGATACATATCGTGATCAGCAAATGTTTAGATATAAAATAGGCTTTTAAAATTTACAATTCGGGGTTTCAACAATGATATAATTTGCAAAAAAATATAGTTAGAAACTATAAACTATAAACTATAATTAGCTAACTATAAACTATATGAAAACCATAAAATTATTATAATTAACACTAATGAACATAATAAACATTAAACATTTCGCAAAAACACAAATATACAAAATTCAAAACAATTATACAATAATAGAATGTTTTCCTTAATAGAAGAAAGGCCTTTTTTCAATTAGGAGAAATATTGTTGCACGAACTCTTGGCGAAAAATATTGTGACCAGATTGTACTGATTCTTTGGAATTCAGTACAACAGGATCATCTTTTTCATCTTCCATATCCTCATCTGTGATTCCGCGTCTAAAAAATAAAATAATTCATATATTTCAATATCATCATTCTTATCACATAATTATTACTAAAGCATATATATATATACAATATAACATATAACATACAAATTGTTATCATGAAAATTTTTCCTGATGTTATGTAAGACAGTCATCGCTATGATGGTTGTCTTTGCTGTACGAAGGAAGATCTGCATTCCATTTCGCAAGGCGCGAAACATGCCCTTCCATTCACCAAAGCAGCGCTCCACGATGGTCCGGGTTCGTATATGAGATGTTTTGTAACGTTCTTCACAAGGATTACGAGGATTTAAAATTGGTGTTAAGAGGCATGGCTTACAAGGTATGTTTTCCAGCAAAGGACACAAGTTGACACAAATCGACACAAGTATCACTCTGTCTTTGTTCGATATTCAATGAGCAACAGAGAGAATAATACTTTTATGTCGCTTGTGTCTCTTGGTGGAAAACTACCAAGGATACCCGGAATCCCCAAGCAAAATACCTCGTATTCTACCTGCCTGTAAATTTATCAGCATATATTATATTATATATAAATGTATATATAAATATAATAATTATATTAATTACTTATAAATGAAAGAAGTGGTTTTAATGTAAAATACATTTATCACTCTTTAATATTAATGCTATAATTGAAATCACAGAATAAATAATTTTGGACAACTTAAAATAATTATCATAGCTTTATATAATCAATCACAGCATAAATATTAAAATGTATTTTATGGATGACACAATCCCCTTCTCTATATGTAAATATTATGGGCGTAATGCCTTTAGGATGTGTTTAAACTGGTGAGAAATTTGTGAGAGCCAATTTATTAGAAAATATATATTTTATTTTCTTCGTCAGAGAAGGTGTGTATGTACAAGTTTATGTTTGAGTGTTTTATTGCGCCAGAGGCGCTTTCTCGGTAAAGGTGTAAGACCGAGAAGTTAAAAGAAAAATTGATGGGCGCGGTAAGAAATTACCGGCCGCGTCTTGGTATATTGAACCGGTCCTAAGAAGAACGGTTCGATAGACGATGCTCGTTGCAACCCTTTCTCGGGTGTTAGAGGAACTCCGTTTGGAAAGTGGTCTTCCGTCTGGCAACTGCTCTCCAAGCACGCCCTAGGCGGCGAGGTTTGTATTGCGACGGAGCGAGTCTCTGGTGTGCTTGATGAAGTGACCGTCTCGGCTCTCGGTGCAACAGAGTGTTCTGTGTAGCAAGGAGAGAGAGGTCTCCGAATTTGAATGTCCCCAGCAACTAGAGTATCCCTTAGAAGCCGGATCAGCCGGACACAGAATTCTAAGGGAATTAATTTCCACTGTAGAGTCTGTGGGGATGACGGCGGTGCTGGTGAGTCAGCGGGCCGCTTGGTTGAAATGTGTGGCCAAAGCTGGGACTCTGTTTTTCTTTTACGTGCCTTTCTAGGCACTGTGAGAAAAACTGCAAGGTAATTAGCCTCTGGTTACTCTCTGCTCTTGCAGAGTTAATGCTCAGCTCAAGGGTCCTATAGAGAGCTCGCCTTGAAGCGAGTGAGTGAAGAAAAGCTTGCGACAAAGCTCTTTTATACTGCTTCGATCGATCCTCGATTGCGAGAGAGTCTTACACCGCCTGCGCAACCTGGTGATGTATCTGCAGGCTCAGAACTCGGCTGAGGGTCTGCGGCGCGTAGCGGCGCCGCGGCGTACTACGCCGCTTCAGTGCAGCGGTGTGGCGATATGCCGCCACAAATATATATAATTATATTTAACAAAATTATTACCTTGAATTCGTCCTTGAGAGAACATGAATCCCATATACGCGCATCATGAGCACTGCCTTTCCATCGAGCAACAATGTCCAGTATACATCGTTCAGCATCGCAAATCAACTGGATGTTTAACGAATAGAAACCCTTCCGGAGTTATATATAACGCAGCTTGTTCCTGGCTTGGGGCATTTTATTGGTACATGAGTACAATCAATACAGCCCACAGCCATAGGAAAACAAGCTACGTTATAAAATTCCTGCTGAAGTGTTTCTATTCGCGGTGGAAATTTTATAAATTGTGGCAGTGAATCTGCCAAAACTCGCGATACTAAAGCGACGATCCTAGACACTGTTGGCTGCAATACACCATGCAAATCTCCTGTAATAAGAAATTTTTAGTTTTATAACAGTTTTTTTCCACTAACATAATACAAATCACAAGAAAGTCTAGCAGTGAGCTCTCTGACAGAGTTCTTAGAGGATCGATGTTTGATCCTAGAACCAGAAAGTGTAAAGTCAGACACAAGCAAGACGCAAGCAGCAATGCGATCAGACAAGCGAATGCAGCATCAAACAAAAAGAGCGGAACAATCAAGTTCATTTGCGGCTACAGGCAGTAAAAAACTCTTCGTAAATGCGCATATTGTCAAGAGAAATCGCACGCGGTTTATTCGTGTCTAAAGTTCCAGGCATTAGACGTTTCAAATAGGCAGCTTATCGTTAAGGAGCGCAAACTGTGTCGGAATTGTTTAAGAGGTAATCATATCGCAGCAAGTTGTACCTCCGGTCATTGTAAAAAATGCGAAGCAAAACACAATACGTTATTGTACCCCGAAGCGCAAACGATAGAAGCAAGCAAGCAGATAATTAACAGCGACAATGCGAGCGCAGATAAGAGTGTGACTTTAACATCAACTGTCAATAATAATCAAATATCGTCTTCGCGAGTTTTTTTGTCAACAGCGCAGGTTTGGATTCGCGATCATAAAGGCAGACGCATAGAATGTAGGTTACTATTAGATTCGGGTTCACAGTTCAATTTTATGTCCAGAGAACTTTGTAAACAATTAAAATTGCGCACACAGCAACAGCAGTGTTCGGTCAAAGGATTAGGTCCGTCGATTGATCTGAATGAATCTGTGGAAGCGATCATTGAATCCAAGCATACAGCATATCGCACCAAACTACAGTTTCTCATCACGGAAAATATCATTGAGAGGCTACCCTTAACAGCCTTTGAAATGGATCATATCAGAATCCCGTCGCATCTGCGTCTGGCAGACAATGAGTTTCACATCCCAGCCAGAGTAGATGCTCTGTTAGGAGCAAGCATTTTCTGGGAACTTCTCTGCATCGGGCAGATTAAGTTGAGCAAAGGCCAACTAATTTTGCAGAAACGCAGAACGCACCTGGGATGGATTGTTGCGGGAGGCATTTCAGATATCAAGCAAATCACCTTATTGAGCTGCATGGCATCTGACAATACATTGCACGAACAGGTGCAGCGATTTTGGAACATCGAAGAGATTGAACAAAACTTATTGCCATCAAAGAACGACGAGTATTGCGAGGCTGATTTTGTGAAGAACTGTCAACGGGATTCATGCGGTAGATTCACAGTCAGTCTTCCATTCAAAGGTGACCCAAATGAGTTAGGCGAATCCCGTGAGCATGCACTGAAACGGTTTCATAAACTGAAGAAACGACTGGAGTCGCAACCGGACATCAAGGAACTATATGTAAGGTTTATGCAAAAGTATCTCGAGCTAGGTCACATGAGTCAGATATCAAGTATCAAGGAAACAGCCTCCAAGAAATATTACATCCCGCATCATGCGGTAGTAACCAACATTAACAATCGAATCAAGCTCCGTGTCGTTTTCAACGCATCGGCACGTACGACTTCCGGAATAGCGCTCAATGATCTTTTACGAGTAGGACCCACAATTCAGCCTACTCTATTGGCAACAGTTGTACGATTCCGACAATATCAATTCGTCATGACGGCGGATATCGTTAAAATGTACCATCAGGTCAATATCCGAGAAGATCAACGAGATTTACAACGAATCATTTGAAGAGCAGACATCAATCAACCAATACAAGAGTACCGACTGAATACGGTTACCTACGGACTTGCCTCAGCTCCATTTTTAGCAATTCAAGCGTTGCAGCAAACGGGTCAAGATGCTCAACAAGATCATTTTGTAGCGAGTCAGGTCATTTGTGACTTTTATGTGGACAATTTACTCACCGGCAGTGACAATTTGAGCAAACTTCAAGCACTAAAACAAGAAATTATCGAGATATTGAGATCAGCGGGTTTCAAGTTAGCAAAATGGAACTCGAACGAACCGTCACTCATCACACAATCAACCGACAATACCGCACAAGTCCTCAACATTGGGGAAGAGAAAACTCTCGGTCTTACGTGGAATTCAGCGACAGACACATTCCAATATCGCGTTGTGGCTCGAAACAACGAAGGTCAAATTACTAAACGTACGATATTATCGATCGTGTCACAAATTTTCGACCCATTAGGACTCATCGGGCCATCAACAATCAAGGCAAAAATAATGCTGCAGCAAATGTGGCAACTCAAGCTCAGTTGGGATGATTCATTGCTAAGTGACTTACACACGGAATGGACTGGATACGTTGAGCATCTTAAATCCATAAATGATATTTGTATTCCACGCATCACTGTATGCCACAACCCAGCACGCATTGATCTTCATGGTTTCTCAGATGCCTCAGAGAGTGCTTACGGAGCTTGTGTCTATTTACATTCCGTCGACCAACAGGGTAACGTGACCATTCGATTGTTGTGCGCCAAATCAAGGGTCGCACCGTTGCAAACTGTCTGCGTGCCCCGACTGGAACTGTGCGGAGCCCTACTCCTAGCAAAATTAGTTCACCAGGTAATCGGAATACTGTCATTACCAATTCACACCTGCTATTATTGGTGTGACTCAACAATCGTGCTCGCGTGGATACACGGCGAACCATATCTCAGAAAGGCTTTTGTGGCCAATCGAATCACCGAAATTCAGCAGCTATCAGCAAAGGAAGCCTGGCGTCATGTCAACTCAGAAGACAACCCAGCCGATGTCATATTAAGAGGAGTAAATCCACATCAATTAAGCCAGCTACGTCTTTGGTAGGAGGGACCAGAGTGGTTACACGAGCCTGCAGAGCACCTCAGCAGAGATGTACCATCGGTAATCGGTGAAATTCCTGAGAGCAAGGCTAACATAGCAACATTCACTCAAACAAGACATGTTGACGATCTCCTAGAGAGATTCTCGTCACTCTCAAGAGCAAACCGAGTTCTCACATATTGTTTGCGGTGGAAAGAACCTCGAAGGGATACAACGTCTCAATACGTACGCGCCTTAAGTGTCCAAGAGCTAGAAAGAGCAATGAGCATCATTATCCGAACGATACAAGCGCGCTGCTTCCCAAGGGAAATCGACGAATTAACGCATAAGAAGCAGGTTTATCATGATAGTCCATTACTAACCTTATATCTGTTTTTGGACAACGAAGGAATCATACGAGTGGGAGGACGACTGGCTAATGCACAAATCGCATATGCACGTCAACATCCTATTGTTTTACCGTCGAATCATCACTCACCTAATCATCCGATCAGAGCATTTAAAAAATTTGCATCTAGGGCCACAAGCGTTACTCGCGACATTGCAAGGCACATTCTGGATTTTGTCTGCAAGATCCACGATTCGAAAAATATTGCACAAATGCATCATTTTTTTCCGAGCACAACCTCCAAAAACCCAACACATTATGGGCAATCGACCAGACTATCGAGTAACATCTGCACGCGCATTTGTAGACGTAGGAGTCGACTATGGAGGTCCATTTCATTTAAAACTTAGTCGAAACAAAACCTGCAAGGCATACGTATGCGTATTTGTGTGTATGTCTACCAAGGCTATTCACATCGAATTAGTCTCCGATTTAAGCACACCGGCGTTTCTTAATGCGCTCAAACGCTTCATTGCTTGTCGCGGCTTGTGTATAAACATATACTCGGATAACGGCACCAATTTCAAGGGGGCTCAGAATGAGTTGCACGCGTTCTATGAACTCCTTACATCAGCGTCACATCAAGAAGCCGTCGAACAACATTGCTCAGGACGTGCAATTCAGTGGCATTTCATACCACCTTATTCACCACACTTGGGTGGTATCTGGGAGGCCGGCATAAAATCGGTAAAAACGCATCTCAAGAAAATACTCAGTGAAGCTCTATTAAGTTTTGAAGAAATGTATACGGTTCTCACGCAGATTGAAGCGGTCTTGAACTCACAACCATTAACTCCAATATCAAGTGACCCTACAGATCTCAGAGCGTTGACTCCGGGTCATTTTTTGATCGGAGAAGCACTAAACGCGATTTCTCAGCGTTTCATCGATATTCCTTCTAATCGACTTACTCGATTCCAATACCTGACGAAACTGGTCCAATCATTCTGGTCACGTTGGTCTAAGGAGTACTTGTCGACTCTTCAACAACGATTCAAATGGAATCGCGAGGATCTGGTATCTCTAGTCAAGATTGGAACATTGGTGATTTTACGGGACGACCAAACTCCTTCGATGCAATAGAAGCTGGGAAGAATCATCGAATGCCACCCTGGTAAGGATCAAATCACTCGGGTCGTTAGCGTTAAAACTACCAAAGGCGTGATTCAACGCACCATAGCAAAGATCTGTATTCTACCATTGGAAACGTAGTTAAGGATATTTATACTCACAGGATAACCATAGCATGTAAGTTTACCATTTCATTTATTTGCGTTTAATTAGATAATAAGTAAAAGGCTTGTAGCAATGTTTAGTTGAAAGCCTAGCCTTTCAAGGCGGGCGAGATGTAAGCGCTGTGTGCAGGGGACAAGCGAGCGTATGACGAGCGGCGCAGATGAGCGTAACGCCGGCGCTAAAAGAAGTGGAGAGAGAGAGTTAAGATGGAGAGCGAGCATGTGCGTGAAGAAGGCGAGCTGAGTCAGTTAAGGAATGTACGCTATCTCAGCAATAAAAACAAACAATAGAGATTGATTCAAGTGCATATTTTACGTAATTCTCTACCTGCATCAAGCAGTAGAAACAACTTCTTTTATAGCAGCTGATATTTCTCTACTTGTTTCTGCTAAATCGCGATCAATTTTATCATCTTTGCTCCTCCGACGTCTTGCAAATTCATCCATTTCTGGCATTATTTTTTTAAGAGCCCAGTGAACATTTTGACGTCTTAAAGTAGTCTTATAGTCGTCCTAAAATAGCTGGACGTCTTTGAAATCTGTCAAAAATACGACTTTAAGTCGTCCTAAGATAGTCTTATGTCCCGATTTTCGACCTCCTTAAGTCATGTCTTAAAAACGTCAATTAGAACGACCTTTAAGACGTTTTTTAGTACACCTGGACACAATTTCAGATGTTTTCAGGACTTGGTTAGGATTGATTTTTGAAATATAATTATAAAAATTTAAATATATTTTTAAAAATTATATTTATTTTTAAAAATTTTAATTTACAATGCAAATTTTTATTTTAAATTATATAATATAATAATTTTCTTATTTCTATTCAAGTTTTTACGTATAAAATAACGTCGCATCAAAATACACGCTTAATACGAAGATTCTAAAGAAAACGCACATTAAACTATTAAAAATAAAAATATTAAAAACTAAATTATTTAAACAAATTGCATTAGTCGATCGAATAAACACGAGAGAACATGCACATTTCTATTTTAAATTATACAATATAAAAATGTTCTCATTTCTAATTAATTTTCCACATATAAACTTGTGTGTGGGCGTGTGTGTGATCTTTTATATTTTTAAAACTCAAGTGTAACAATTATCGATAAACATACATTTATTTGGAAACAACCAAGGAGTGGGTTTTGAAAAAATATATATATAATCTATATATAAATAACGTTCACGTCACATTTACGCGTAATGGATAAATAATCTCTTTTTCTTTTACTGTAACTATATCCTCTCCCTCACTCTATTTAGAAAATTTTTAAACAAAAGAAATTAATCACAGTCAATTACTCGTGGATTTTACTTTAAAAGCTACAGTTTTGTATCAAATAGGTGAAAACTTTTTCAGATTCTAATATTTTTTTTTATTGAAAAATTTGAGGTAACCGTGATTGATACGTTGCATCAAATACACGCCTAATACAAAAATTGCGATTTTGTTCTCTCTTTTATCCGTTTCTCGCACATTAAACTATTAAAAATTAATTTATTTAAAAAAATCGCATATATAAAAATAGTCGAACATATAAACGCATATGTAAAAATAGTCAAACACATGAACACGAGAGAAACGGTAATCTAGACGGAAAGTTCGACAGACCGCTTTCCTCAAACTTGTTGTAAAACTTCCAAACGTTGCTGATCAGTTCCGTGATTTCTGCGTGTCAGTGAGCCTGTGCAGGTAAAACGTCTGCGCGTAATGACCTTCGGGATCTTGAGCTCGTGATTGTTGGTGCAGATCCATTGATATATATATATATGCAGCTTGGGTAGCAGCTTCACCTGCAAGAACGTGCGTAAAACGGGAATCGAGATTACCGCCGCAGCGAAGAAGAAACGGTGCAGAGGTCCGGCAGAAGCACCAACAGACCGGTTCGCTTAATAACAGCGCCTGACTGCTTGCCGGGGGGCGGAATACCCTGTGTCTACGCAAAGCAAGGTCCATAATTATACTATTTTATATGGGTTTGCGACTTGCAATTAATGATTATCGGAAATATATTTTATACTTCGCGCACAATTCTGTTACAACGCATGCGCGTCTGACTGCAGCGTATGCTCACATCGCTTTAATTTATCAAAGTGACAGGTTTCTTAATTTGAAAAGTTGTCAACTTTGACGCTTAATATTTCGTCTCTTGAGACAGAGCGACAATTTTGTGAGAGGAAAAAGTTTTTTTAAAAGAAAAAACGCATCGAATGAGATTAGTTGGGTCAAAATCGGAGGTAAAGCGGGTATTCTGCATAATTACCTCAAAAAGTAAATATTTTTTAAGTCTTTTTTTAATGTGATGTTTCAAAACTATGTGTATGCCATAATTACTAGATAACATTCCGGAAGAGAACCATGTTGAATGGTAAGTACGATCTGATCTCCTGGTTTAAGAGTTTCATCACAGCTTCTTGATGCGTATAACTACTTGATCCGTACTAAACTTTTCAATCTATCCCGAGTTTTCGAAATTATCTCGTCTGGACGATGAATTTCTTCACACCAAACTCACCAAATCTATCGTCCAGACGAGAATGTGCATGGCAATGGCGAGAATGCTGCAATGGCCGTAACAACGCTGGCGCATCGCTGAACCGCGAACAAGACCGCAAGGGGCGCGCACGTAACAAGTGCGTTCGTAAAATCATCACAAGTCTATAATTAATTATGATTCATGCAACGAAATTCCGCAAATATATATAGTGAGTGCCATAAATATGAAAAATATATTGCCGATAAGCAACATTATTAGAAATATTTTTTGTATTTATGGCGCTCGTTATATTAGCAGAATTACGCTGTATGAATCATAACCAATTAGTACTGTGCTGGTAATTTTATGAACGCACTTATTGTTATGTAAAAATTATTAAATTGTCTCAAAACTGCTACATAAAAATGTCTGACAGACGTCTTTTTTCTAATATTTTAATACGTCGTAAAAAGATTATCCAAAAGACGGCCGTAAGACGTCTTATTTTAAAAATCCTTAATGTGTCTCAAAAAATTGTCAAAGATACGTCCTTAGGACGCCTTTTATAATGTCAGAAAGGCGTCTTAAAAAAGACGTCATTTAGTCGTCTCTAGGACTTGCATGTTGTCTGGGAGGCTTTAATATTAATGGAGTTTTAAGTTTACCGAATTGGAACTCATACTTGTCTCCAAAAATTGGATGCTACTAGCACTACTACTGTTAGAAAGTGTACTGGCAGACCTATTTAAAATCTCGTTATCATTTGTCATAATTATTTCCTCATTTTCAATATTTAATGACGGTTTATTCTCTGAAAATAATTTATGCTATCAATATCAAATTTAAAAATTATACTTATTTTTGAAATTATACTTCTTTAATATATCTTAATAACCTTCAATTGATTGAACAGATCCACTGTAACTGTGATCATATAAAGAAATATTGGAAGATTGCTTAAATTTTTTTAACGGTAAAAAGGTATTTCTTGTACTTGTTTCAAGTAATAAAGTTTGTGATTGATTCTGTTGAACAAATGATGTTTTTATTCTGTAAATAAAATTATTAAATTAACTGTAAGAATTAAAATAAAATTATAAAATAAATATTGACAAGTAAAATACAAAATAAGTACAAATAAATATAAAACAATCCACAATAAATTAAAAAATGTTATAAAAACTAAAGACTTACTTTCTGTGAACTACATGAGGGGTTAAAAATGACATATTTTTATATAACTCCCATTCCTTTACAGGTTCATATCCAGAATCAGAAGGTGGTAATACTTGTCGTCTTTTCTCTCTACCAAACATGTCTCTTAAAGATGACCATTGTTTTTCAACTTCTTCAGCTACAAAATATAATTTTACATTATATATATATTGATATTATGAATTGTAAAACATTATAAATTATTTTTCCAAACAACATGTATGTCTTGTTGAAGATATCATGTATATCTTAAAGAAACCCAGCAAACACAAAATAACAGTAAGATAACATTAATGTTATACATTGTATTATTTTGTGTTTGCTGGGAAAACGTTTTTTAGATGTCTTTAAAATATACGTTATCAGGGTTTTTATGTTATATATATAATAATTTTAATATTTTACAAATAATAATTTAAAAAACAAAAAATTTACCTGACATATTTACCCCATATACATTTTGCAAAGTTTCGGAAATTTTTTTTCCACACATCCTTCTTTTTCCTAATATTTTTAAAATCTACATTACATTTATCATATAAACAATGATTTTCACGCACAAAATCAATAATTATTTCGTCTAAATTTGTATGTTCCATGATAAAAATGAAAAAAAATAAAGAAGTTAAAATAGAAGTTATATTATATTTGCATCCAGTCGTAAGGCCTATCGGAAGTCGAAAGCCGGAAAAGATGAGAGTTGAGCATCTCTCGTTACGATAACAACAACCAACTTCCGACAGCTTCATGCGACAGCCGACAACCGACTGCGTATGCGTCCGACATCCGACGCCGACATACGACGTATTGTAGAACAGGTCTTATAACTTCCTCGGTTTTACCGAGGACGTTGCACATCACGGAGGCAAGACGAGACATCTTTACCTCTGTTTCCTCCCTTTTTCCTGGTATTTCCAGGAGGAGGCTACCGCTGAAGCTGGTTTTCGATCTAATTTGGTCAATCCCCAGCTCCTTCAGCTCCTCTGGAGAGATTGCATCTCTCACTCTCTGCATTGTCCTCGAGAGAGTAGCCGGCTCCTTAGTGGAGACAAGAACCGCCGCCGAGCGTGGCATCCTCCTCTTCGCCCTCTTGATCGTTATGACACGATCCTGTTTTTTTTCCTCCTCCTTCCTCTGAGAGGGAGGAGTC